GGGTTGCTTGAAGTTGGAATCCGAGGAGCCACTAATTTGCTTCCTGTGAAAACAAAGGATGGTACACGTGGGACCACTGATGCTTACGTGGTGGCTAAGTATGGGCCCAAGTGGGTCCGGACCCGGACGATCCTCGACCGATTTAATCCACGGTGGAACGAGCAATACACGTGGGATGTATATGATCCATGCACTGTGCTAACCATTGGTGTATTTGATAATGGAAGGTACAAGCATGATGAAGCTGCAGGAAAACAAGGCAAAGATGTTAGGGTTGGTAAAGTAAGGATCCGTTTATCAACCCTTGATACTAATCGGGTGTACTTCAATCAATATTCTCTTACGGTGTTACTTCCTAGTGGGGCCAAGAAAATGGGAGAGATCGAAATAGCCGTTAGATTTTCATGCTCATCGTGGTTAAGTCTAATCCAAGCTTACACTTCACCAATGCTGCCTAGAATGCATTATGTGAAGCCTTTGGGTCCAACCCAGCAAGACATTTTGCGACATACAGCAATGCGTTTGGTGACTGCTCGGCTAACCAGGTCTGAGCCACCACTGGGCCAGGAAGTGGTCCAGTTCATGTTGGATAGTGACACACACATGTGGAGCATGAGGAGGAGCAAGGCTAATTGGTTTAGGGTGGTGGGGTGTCTCACACGCGTCGCAACTTTGGCACGTTGGACTGAAGGGATTCGCACCTGGGTGCACCCGCCCACTAGTGTTCTTATGCACGTGCTGCTTGTAGCTGTTGTGTTATGTCCACATCTGGTGCTCCCCACCGTATTCATGTATGCCTTCCTGATCTTAGCGTTCAGATTTCGCTACCGTCAAAGGGTCCCACTCAACATGGACTCGAGGCTCTCTTATGTGGACATGGTGGGACCTGATGAGCTTGATGAAGAGTTTGATGGATTCCCAACCACACGATCACAAGATGTGGTTCGTATCCGATATGATAGGTTGCGGGCCCTGGCTGGCCGGGCCCAGACACTCTTAGGAGATTTTGCAGCCCACGGGGAGCGCTTAGAAGCCTTGTGGAACTGGAGGGATCCGAGGGCTACTGGGATTTTTGTGGTGTTTTGCTTAGTTGCTTCATTGGTATTTTATGTGGTTCCGTTTAAGGTGTTTGTGTTAGGATCTGGGTTCTATTACCTCCGTCACCCAAGGTTCCGTGACGACATGCCATCTGTCCCGGTTAGTTTTTTCAGGCGACTGCCGTCATTTTCGGACCAAATTCTTTAGAAGAGTGGTGGCCCGGTTTGGTTCACTTTTTTGGTGAAGTTATAATCACATAAAAGTGTTTTGTAATGTGGTTTATAACCATTGATTGATTTATTAGTTATTTTTTAGCAATAAATAACGCTTTCAAGGCGTACCTCTTGGATGTATAATGTGGAAAAGGTTGCCATTATTTTGATCATTTATGAGATGGGGTTGATGAAAGGATGGATATTTAAAAATACTAGTTTACATGACTTGTGTACCGTTATTTTTAATTAAAAAAATGTTCAAAAAATCAATTTTACATTATTATAAAACCCAATTCATCAAATTAACTTTTAAACCTTCTATTTGACTTTTTATTTAGCTAGAGTTTAAAGTTAAATTATGTAAAAATTATTTTAACATCACTTAATTTACTTGGTAAATTTAAAAACAACTCAATCAATTATTAAAAAAATTTAATAATAATAAGAAAAACAATATTGAATTTAACAAAAAAGATATATACAAATCAATTATTAAAAAAATTTAATAATAAAAAAAAACAATATTAAATTTAACAAAAAAGATATATACCTCTCAGCTAGGAGTATCAATTTCACCTTAAATCAATAAATATTGATTCTTTCTTAAGTTTGGGTCAGGTTCTAGTAATACATGAAGTGAAAAGATTAAGTTCATGTAAGGAATAAATATTACTTTATCCAATTCAAAATCCTATCTAAACCTAACCCAAAATACAGGTATAATCTTAAAATTTTAAAAAATCACAATTATATCCGTCTAAAAAAAATTTAGGGTTTCTCACTTACCTCTTCACACACTCACAGTTCACGCTTATTAATTTTATTTTTATTTTTTTACCAAACCACTAAATTACAAACCAAGTAAATCTCACAAATAAAAATAAACCACAAAATCCCGATAATAAAGTTTGAGATAATCACCTTATATGATATATTGAGATAATATATCAAAATACCAGCCTAATCAAACGGTTAAAGCAGCAAGTATTAACGAGAAACAAAGCAACCCTAAAAATTAGCAAAAAATAAACTCGGAATTCCAACCTATGCAAAGTAGTTTCAAATCCAATCTCCACCGTTCAGAGTGAAGAGGACAGTTGGGCGAACCTCCCTACCCAAATTAGAGCAGATCCAACGGTGGACAAAAGCTTAATAGGCCGACAAATTTGTCACCCTCTAACATAATTTTTTTTTAAATATTGCATTTTCAAAAACGGTCAAACAAAAAAAATCATAACATTATTAAATTATTAAAATAATCAAACGATTCAACTAATGTTAAATTTTTTAAATTAGAAAGGTAAAAATATTTTTTAATTAAAAAATAAAAATATCATTACACTATTTTATTTTATTTTATTTTAGTAATGAATCTCTGTAAATCTAGAGTTAAAATATTTTTACAATGAGAGTTAGGTACCTTTAAAAGCCCATTTTCATGGGTTTGGATTAGTTCTTTCTGCGATGATGCCACAATATCAAGCTTAATAGGGATAGGGAAATATCGTATAATGATGAACAAGGCGTCACTTTCTTCTTCACATACAAGGGCAATTGAGAAAGACTCAAAACTGAGTGTCATATAGAAAACAAATTTCAAAAAATAATAATAATAATAATGTTATGATAATAGCAGTATAAAAAAAATAGAAGAACAATGAATTTCAGAAATTAAATAAAAAATTAAAATTAAAATCAATAAAATTATTTTCATTGAATATTCATGAGTATTTAAAAAAAATCTACAAATTATATTTACCATAAAAAGCTCCAATCTCGTTTCAAAGTAAGGCTTTTAATTTTTTTTAAAGTTGTTAATATTAATTAAAAACTAAAACATGAATCTACTCTTTCTTTTAAGAAGCAAAAGATAGATGCAATTCTAGATGATTTTCTTTTTTATAAATATATTATGCAAATATAAATCTCTCTTTTTTTAATTTAATGGGAATAAAATTTTGATTTTCTTGTGATTATTAAAATAAATATTTTTAAAAACTCTAATAATTTATATTTTAATGTGCTGATGTCAAAAATAATTTTTAAAAATAAAAAAATATTTTTTTTAAATATTTCTAAGTGAAAAGTAATTTGAAAAGTAATCACAACCATACTCTTAAATACATTATAAATTAAGTGAGAAACAAATGCATTTACTTAACCAAAACTTCATTTTTTTACTTAATTTTATTTTAATTTTGGAGGGAAAATATATTTTTATTAAAATTGTGATTATTTTTAAAAAATATCATAATATGTAAAGTAATTATAAATAAAAAACAAAAAAGATTATATTTTGATTATTTTCATACAATTGCATAAGAAAATAAAAGAATAATCAATTGAAGAGGATAATGTAAAAAATGATAATAATAAAAATAATAAAATGTTTATTATATTCTCATTGAATATCTATGCCAATCTTTTTAAAACTCGTGCACATTTGTTTCCTATAGAATCATAAAAATTAAAATTAAAAAATTAAAAAATATTATATTAAATTTCAAATATCATTTAAGAAATAAGGAAAAATTGAATTAATTTTTAAATATCATTATAGTTAATTTTCTAAATACTATTTTATTTTAAAATATAAAAAAGCTAAAAAATGATGAGAGCCTGTAGAATCAAGCTCAAACAAGTTTAAGTTTTCTTTTTTTCTTTTTTGTAGTAAAGCTAGGTGTGCAAGCCTTGTCTCGCAAGCCTAAGCACTAAGAGGCTTCATGCACTTGACTTTTTTTTTAATATTTTAAAAGAAATTTCTTGCTAGATAAATAAAAGTAATAGTATTGAAAAATAATTAATTTATATCTTTTTCTCAAACAGGAATAGAGTTTTTATGGTACTATTTGCAATTTAAAGAATTATGTATAAAATTATATTAATAATTTTTTAAATAAATTGAAGCAAAATAATATTCAATGAGAATAAAAATACATATTTTTATTCTCATTGAATATTATTTTGCTTAGGAATAAAAATACATATTTTTTTATTATTAATTTATTATATTATTACTTCAAATTAATTATTTATTTTTAATACAGTCACATCAACATTATTGAACCATTATTTTTTGTTTTTGTTTTTAAAAAAATTGTTTTAAAATCATAGAAAATTTTTATTTGAGAGGCCAATGCTTATGATTAAAAAAAAACATGTTTTTTCATCAAAATGTAAAAGAAATGAATGAAGGGGAGTTACAACTAAAGAAATGCATGGTTTTTCTTTTGAATTTAAATCATTTAAATTTATATGAATATTTATTTTAATTGTTTTTAAGTTTTTATTCAAATAACCATGCTATTAATAAAAAAATGCCTTTGTCAGGATAAAAAAGAAAAGAAAAAAAAATTAATCATTGAAATCCTCACAACTATTTATTTTAGTATTATGAAACGAAATGAAATATAGATTTTGAGAATGACTTCGACAGTAGAATTAAATTCTACTTGTACTGACGACATGGTTGTAAGCAATTTTTATACATTTTTTATGTATATATATAACTTGTGATGTCTCAATCAGTTTATACATATCATAATTAATTCTTGAATCTACTGTAAACCTAACAAATAAATAAAACATCTCACGAAAATAATAAATATACATAAAAAAATCAAATCCGAATGCTAAGATAAAAAATTCTTCACTAAAATCACTAAACCACAACCTCTAGTACAATTTTCATACATCTTTATTTGTAGTTCAAAAAAAAAACTTGGTGTCTAATTATATCCTAGTCTTTCAAAATGTTATCAATTCTCTCTAGCTGGTATTAACATGTAATGATTTCAGTATAAGCATCTTATATCAGCTTTTCTCAATATATCTCGCAAAACAACCAGCCCAGTAATTATACGACGCATTTATTCTTGTTTTTTCATTTCGAGAGTACTCTCATCTGCATTGCCGCTTGAAGTTCTTTTCAGAAAGAAGTTTGGTCAGCAAATTTTGCAGCCTTCTTGATCCTGGTCCAGGCCTCAAAACACCATAATTCTCATTTTGCAAACCTGAACATGTTCCATGCCTTTTGCCACTCCTGGTACACCAGCCCCCGTGAGCAAACTGTCCCTTGTATCTTTTAAGAAGCTCGCGATCAATCTTATCGAGAACTGGATCATTTCTCTTGAACTTTCTTGCAAATGGCCGGCTGCTTAAGATCATTCTTCTGTAATCTTTAACTCCTAGGGACCGAGGGTGCTGCTTAGGAGGTGTATCCCAAGTAATGTAATGAAGGTCATGGTTAACTGTGGTGTTTTTATAGTCTTCAGAGTTGCAAATTACAGTTTGGAAGTAGCCTTCAGGGGAGGACACAAAGTTGGTGTAGTAGAGAAGAAGAGTCCTTGGCAAGTTGTCCCAGCCCACAATGCTGTACTCAGCAAAAGATCTTGACAGTATTGTCCAAGCAGAACCTGTTGTGCAAAGCAATTGAGAGAAATTAGGATTGCTGTAACTATTGGAAACTTGAAAAACACTGCACTTATATAGATGAATCCATTTAAAATTGGAAACTGCCACAGAAAATTGTTGTTTCATAGGAACATTATGTTTAATGTATTTTTGGAAGATGAAACAGCTTGAAGGGGTGATCTGAAAAGAAAAAATCAAGATTGCCAGCCCTCCATATTGCAAAGGAAACTGCCACATCCACAACCAAAGCCATTATCTATGTTTTCTGCAATTTGGAATGATTCTGAAATCTTGATCTTATTTTGTGAAAACAAAATAAAACATTAATGGAAGAAATCAAACGATTTAAATTCACATCTATCTCATACCCGTAATTACAAAGCTAAAAAGGAAATCGATAAAATCCATGACTTGGAACACGTATAAGTACATGACTTGATGTCCTCTTTTGTCAAGAATATTTATATTCAGTTCTTTCTGCATGTTGCCCCTTGGAATCAATTCAAAGCAACTTAGAATAATTACTGTCTTTTCCTTTCTTTCAATGGGGGCATTCATTATTAAAAATCTACAAAGTTCTCCATAAGAACAGGAGAGCACGTGTATCCTAACATCAACTGGGCCTTGTCATGTGAATTTTCTAGATCGTGCAGCCTACAACATACAGTTGTCTGTCTTTGGTCCCCTTTGTAGGTCATTTGAAGGGCTCACCTAGAAATCCAACCTGGACACATCTCAGTGTCAGGTAGTGATTCAATGGCTATGTTGAGGTTTTGCGCAGCTTGCGAAATGGTGGAGCCAGACGTGGTTAGGTTGGTGATGGGATGCCTAACATGTTCTGAGAGTAATTCAAAATGCTGATCATGACATTAAACCTAGCTGGCATCGACAAGAAGTTATCTACCATTACCCAGTTGTCTGTGCTGTATGATCAAGAATTAACACATTCTGGGCAGCACTCAAATATTAGAACTTCATGAAAGATGCATTAAGACAGCACATCAAATCTTTGATGGAAAGTGGCGTCTGAACTGATCAGTCTTTCTCACTTTGTACACTGTCCCACTCGTTACTTTTTTTCACTTTGAACACGGGCTTGATGTTCGAAAGCTAAAACGATAATTTGGCGTAGAGTTTATTTATTAATTTTTTTTTCATCTGAAAAAGAAACGGAAATACCTGCACTTCTATTGTTTAATTAATGATTGCGTAGGTACTTGGCTTACGGCTTACCTGAATTGTTGTGATATGACATCCTAACCATCTAGCCGGAAGTTAACCCTAATCTTCCAAGATGTGATTTTATTTTTTATTTCTAATATTGCCACTTGCAGTTTGTTGAAGCTACCATTAATTAGGTCCAAGGTCTTATTCAACAATCATCAAGAATTTTGTTAACAAGTAGAAGATTGATTGCAAAATGGAACTACTTGATTAAATTTAAAAAAAAAAACTAGATTCCTTTATATTATATTTCTTTATCCCAAAAAAAAAAAAGGCTGAAGGTACATGACTTTGATATCATAGTTAAAATAGTATTTTGCTTAAAATTTAAAAAATATTTTTATTTAAAAATAAAAATTTTAATATTTTTAAATCGTTTTGATATAGAAAAATATTTTTTTAATATATTTTAAAAAAAAAAAACCTAAAACACAACATCCGTTGTACTTTCAAACATGCATTGTCTTTGATGTAGAGCTTAGGAGATTTGAAAGGGGGGCATAGCTTTAGAAAATGTGATTTGCATTCTAATCCTTACCATTTAAGTAAAGCTAGGACGGACTTTTTGTCGGCAATGACTTCATATGGAAATATGAATGATACAAGGTCCTACTAGTAAGACATTTGGAAAGATTGGGCATATTTTCAAATACATCCAAAATAATGGCCAGAAAGCAAAACCCATAAATTAGTAATTCCATTTAAAAAAACAAATCTTATAGCGAGTACCATGTGCTATGAAATGCGTGCTGTCTCTTCACTTCAGAGCTCACATGCTGTTGATAAGCAGGTGGGGCAGAAATAAAAATAAAAATGGTGAAAAACAATGCATGGAGCCCATAGACAAGAGAATGGAAGGTCATGGTGGCAATGTCTTGTGATAAGTAAGGTCCTTCTCATAGCAAACAAAAAGACTGAGAAAGAGAGAGAGAGAGAGACCTGTATAGAGCTTGAAGGCAGTTGGGAGGCTCCTTTGTTTAATTACCCACCAGATCTCTGATTTGTTCAGGCTGGAGAGACCAGGATCTATCATGATTGGCTTGGCTCTCTTATTCCTGATGGCGATTAATATTAATAATATTTTTAATAATCAAATTCCTCTCATAACTTCACAAGATTAAAAAAAAAAATGATGAGCAAAAAAGAGAAAAGGGAAAGAGAAAAGGTCCCCTACAGTTTCCATCCCAGGCGACTGCTGTGCTGTATAAAGTTGAGATTTCTTGGTAAGGTAGAGAAGGCATCGATCAGATCTGATAACAAGATAGGTGAAATAATTACTACATTATTGAACATAGAGTCTGGAAACAAAAATGAAGCAAAAACAACAAGAATTTAATGAAAGTAAGATTTGTAAAACACAAAAGCCAAGATCAGTGGTGGACAGATAACAGGATAGTGCAGATAAAATGAAAAAAAAAGGGCCACTCACCATACCATCTTGGGTGACCAAGGGATAATCAGAGGCACTGAGATTAATGAACCAGTCCCATTTGCAGGTCCTCAGCAGTATAGACATTGCATGGAGTGTCGTAGCAAGCATAGTAGGACCTCTGTAAGTAACCAGATTTGGTTTCCCGACAATCCAAACATTTCCCACCAGGCCAAAAACTGGATCACTGGACACAAATTCAGCTATTTCTCTATGCTCCTTTTCCGGTGCATCTGCATCCACATGAATCAGATAGTAGTTCCCTGGATGGTACAATGCCTTCAGCACACGCGTTAGCCTCTTCGCGTCACCTCTAGATGCTGATATCAAGTACGCGAACGTTACTGGATATGGCTTGAGGTCTTTCAACATGTTCAAGTTGATAACATGGCTGTATTTGGCAATGGGTGTGGTTAGTTTTGTTGGGATGTATAGTAGAGAGAAGAGTATCGAGGTTACCATGAATGAGATCATAAACAGTTTGATGCCCATTTCATTTAATTGAAGAAGAAGAAGAAAATGTTAAGGGAAGTGATGAAGGGAGGGAGAAATTAAGGTGGCTTAATGGCGAAGGAGGGTATTGTGAGAACGGGAACAACAACGGAGCTCCTTGCTTTAAAGGGAAGGCCTCCGGTTGTCATTATAGCAGTTGTTGCCATGGAGATTCATTAAGTATAGATGGAGAAGAGGAAAGAGATGAAATTACTAAATTAGTTAGGCCTTCAATAAGGTTGGGATCGGATTGTAGTGGACACTTGTGGATAGAAATTAAGGTATCAAAAGAGTGAAAATTTCACATGGGTTAGTCGGTAAACTCGAAAGTAGCCAACCCACCGTCCCAAGTAACTTTTATAATATTTTTTATTTAAAAGTATATTAAAATAATATTTTTTTAATTTTTAAAAATTATTTTTAATATTTATATACTAAAATAATCATAAATATAAAAAAATTAATTTTAAATACAAATATTTAAATTTTTGAAAAACATGATATCAACACCGTTCCTAAATACTAATGGTTGCGGTATGTTTTTATTCAAAATTATATTAAAATAATATTTTTTTATTTTTAAAAAATTATATTTGATATCAACACGTCAAAATAATTTAAAAATACTAAAAAATTAATTGAAGTGAAAAAAATTTAATTTTTTTCTAAACACTTTTAAAACACAAAAACAAACAAGATTTAAAATTAAAATTAATCAAGCTTGTACATTTATTAATAGATCACTAATTATTCTAAGTTTTAAAATAAACTTAGTAACATTAAGGAGTGTAGCTAATTGATTAAGTTCTAAATTTGCTTTTTAGAAATCGTTATTTGAATCTCACCAACCTTAGAATTATTGAAGACTTATATGATAGTTAATTTCCAAACTTATAAGTTTAGTCGAAATACATGCAAACTAACTCGAATACCTACATTAGTAATAAAAAAAAACTACATTAGTAATAAAAAAAAACTTAACACAGCCAACCTAGTAAAAACATTTTAAACTTATTCACCACATTAAAATCTTGTTTGATTTTTAAAAGAAAAAATATATTAATTTAATGTTTTATTATGAAAATATACTAAAATGATTGCATTTTAAATTTATTCAGATTAACCCATTTAATTTATGATCTAGATTATAGTCATGACTAGATTTAATAATCTTATTTTTTTGAAATATATTTTTATTTAATTATTTTTTATAAAATTAAAATTACTTATGTATATTGTGTATGTAAAAATACATGATTTTATATGATTTACATGATATGTATTTATATGATTTAATATATATTGTGTATGTAAAAATACAAGCAAAAAAATCAATCTTAGATGCATTTGGGATTAAGGAAAAGCAGAAAGATATGTTGAGAAATGATAACGATGGTTTTTTATTAGATGATAAGAGATGTCAATCATCAATCAAATAATATATAACAGTACTAAAACATATGTAATTTTAAATATATTTTATGATTAAGATCCATAAATTACTTATGTATTAATATATTAAAATTTTAACCAATACTATTTCATCATTTATTAGAAAAATAACACATAAAATGAGTTCCTCTTCCCACATATGCAAATAAAAAAGAAAAGAAAAAACTAAACATTGATATATCAAGTTAAATGGAGAAAATGTATGAAAACATTACTAACTAAAAAAATTGAATTGCGTACCTAGCAAATTAGTTTTACTTAAACCAATTATATATCATATCATAAGCTTCGATCTAAAATAGATATTGAATATTGTTTTATATAAACACAAAAAAATCAAGAAAACTCTATTTTAAAACTAGATGAATGCACATAAAGGTCCTTCAATTTTTTTAAAAGTTTATAATAATATAGTTCTTTAATTATATATTATATTAATTTCTTTAAAGCATTTACAACAATTGAAAATTCAAATTATATATGCATGGATAAATAAATATATTATATATTTTTCAAGTTTGTGTTACTTTTTTATTTTATTTTTTAGAAAAGAAAAAAAATTAATCTTTAATAAATAAAAAACAAACGAATACCTAGTTTTTTAATAAATAAAAATTAATCTTTTTTATTGATTAAATATTTTTCCAAATAATTCTAAAGATGCCTATATTGATGTCGAGAAATAAACATAATCAATGCATCCTCTATATTGATGTCGAGAAATAAACATAATCTATTTTAGGATGAAGTTTATAATTTTACTAAAAAAGTAAGTCTAAAATATTTTTTAGTGCTAGGGATTGAAGAAACAAAAACATTCCACTCGTAGGAATTTATATTTTTCAAATAAATTATTTACAACTATTTACAAAAAAAGAAGAAGAAGAAGAACAAGTAATCATTGTAATTTTTATATAGGAAAAAGGGCTCCGTAAATTGCGTTTTTATGGTAAAAATTTGACGGCATGATATATTAAAGAAACAGTAACTATATATTTAATGATAAATTGGATGCAATTAAGCATATAAAAAGACATGTGGGATACAACTCCTAAAATATAAAGATTGATGGAATTATTTTCTCTTTTATATAAGAAACATGATATTATCACTGTTTTTATTGTTGCATCATGGAATTATTTTCTCTTTTATATGATATTATCACTGTTTTTATTGTTGCATTTATTTAAGAAAAAATTGTTTTTTGTTATGATAAAATACTAAAATAAAATGGAAATAAGTAGCAATGATTAATCTTGAAATATAAGAAATGAAATTATCAATGATTTATTCACTATCATCCTAATAATTATAAACAAATTTATTATTTATTAACTCTCAAATTAATTTATAATTTTGAAGTAAGCATAGATCAACAATATATTATTATTTATTTTTAGGAGATATTTGTTAATTATTTCAAAAAATATTATATTATATAATTATTAAAAAATTAATTTCTATCTATAAAAAATTATATCCTAAATTTTTAGAATTTGTAATTATACCAAGTTATATCTTAGTGTTGTGTTTGTGTCCGGATATGTACCAGGCTATAGACTTGTGCCATATTATCATTACTTATAATCTAAAATGTGCTGGTTAAGGATTGTGGAGCCGCATTGTTCACACACATAAAAAAAACTTTGTGGATGATATTGTGTATTTTTTATAATTCATTTTGGTCCTCTAAGTTTAATTTTGATAGGTGATTTCATTCTAATTAAAAATCAATTAATTTTTATTCTTAGAAAATAGTTGAATAAAAAAAAGAGTCTATAATAAAAAAAAAAATACAAGCATAGATGGCATACTAAAAGTGTAGAACATATTTCAACAATATACTTAGTTTCTTAAACTTTTAAAATAATACAACTTATAATTTAGATTTTAAAATTATCATTTTTAATACAAAAATTTATTTATATTATTTTTGGTATGAATGTTCATGCTTCCCTTGGTGAGCCCTTCACAGTCAACGTGTTACTTGCATAGTTTTTTTCAAAAAAATAAAAATAAAAAATAAGTTATCTATCCCAGTTATCTATCCCTTTTAAATATAAAAAAGCTCCGGTGTCCAGGCTTGAACTTGAAGCCCACCCACGTGAATGAGTTTTTCTTTATAATGGCCTAGGCAGGCTAGGGCATGGGCTCAAGAATCTGGCCTTTTTTAACCTTTTTTGTTTTTATTATTAAATTTATGGTTAAATATAAATTTAAAGAAAAAAAATATTGATTTAAGTTTTGTTAATGTTACGAGGTGTAAGTTTAATGAGTTAAACTATAATATTTAAGCTGTGTTTTTTCTTATGATATTGTATTTTTAATTAACATTTTTTTGAAATAATTTTTAAGTTTATGTTTCAATTAATATTGCTCCTATGTAATTTTGTTTTTTTTATGTAATATTTTTTTAGCCATATTTTTATTTTTTTTAAAGGTTTAATATAAATTTAATAAAACAAATATTAATCTTGGTTTAATCTATTATCCAGGGCATAGATTTGATAAGTTAAATCATAATATTTGGATTAGTTTTTTTTCTAATATTTTTTAAATTAATATTTTTTTGAAATAATTCTTAAATTTATATTTTAATTAATATTGCTTATCTGTAATTTTTTTATTTAACATTTTTGGATAGAAATTTTTTATAAATGATGTTGTGTGTTTTTATCTTTTGAAAAGATTATCATGATTTATCTAGGATTTTTTTTATCTTTTATATATATATTAACTTTGTTTTTGAAAATAAAATAAAAATTAAAAAACTATTTTTAATATGCAGCCTTTCATTATATTTTTTTATTTTATATTATTTAATCAATTTAATATTCACGTTTATTTCTATTGTTGTTTGATTTAATAAATAAATAATTTTAATAAATAAATCCAGTAAGTACAACCGGGTAAATATCATGTATTATGAAATTAAGTATCTTTATTTATATTTATCTTTTAATTTTTATAAATTTATTTTTTATTATTATTAATAACTTTTTTCTTCACTTATTAACACTTATAGCTCTCGAGTTATTTGAGTTATTTGAGTACATGAGTTTTTTTTTTACATAATTGTTTTATTTATAAAAACACATTGAAAAAATTAGTATATATAAATTTCTTTTTTTAAAAAAACTATTTTATTAACACTAAAATACAAATCAAATAACTAGTTATATATTTCTAGTATCGTCGTATTTCTACCAAGTTATAATATAAATTATTACTATATAAGAACCATAATTTTGAAATTTGATCTAGTTAGAATGGTCGACTTGAAATCTGACAGGCTCAATACTAAAATCAGACCACGTTCAAGAAAACAAAAGAAAAAAAAATCAATATAATCTAATAGATTTAATTGGTTAACCTGATAATCCGATTGACCGATCAAAAGTCTAGTTATAACTTATTAATTTTTATTTTTTTATTAAAATAATATTATTTTAATTTAAAAAATTAAATTAATTCAAATAATTTAATGACCAGATAAAAATCTAAAACTCAAATCTTAAACTAGACTAATCACCGGGATGGATGCAAAAACTATTATAAGAAATCACATAAGCCTGGTCATGGCTTACAGTCCCTCCCATTCATTTTCTCGGAGGATGGTCCCAACTCAATAGAAGATGGCCAGAGTCTACTCCAAGGCCTTGTTAGGCTAGATCACCAAGTCACATTATTTTGTTAAGGTTTTATTTATTTTTATATTTTAAAAATATTTTTTAAAATTAATTTTTTTATATTATTTTAATATGTTAATATTAAAAATAATTTTTTTGAATAAAAATAATATTATTTTAATATATTTTTAAATAAAAATTACTTTAAGTGTGATTAACATGCTCTAAATTTAGCCTTAAATATACAATTTGGTTAGCACTTTTCTTTTATAAGCTTAGATCATTTCTTGTATGTGATAACTGATAAAGCTTGTCTAGGAACAAAGAGAGCACGAGTCTCTGAAGGTCTTTAGTTTCCTCTTCTTCCCTTAACCCCTATGAGATTAATTTTTATATTTGATATTGCTCTTATAAAGTGTCATAGTGATCTTTGGAAATAATAACATTTAATAAATATTATGTTTTTAAAATGCGATAAACAGAAAATATATTAATTTACTAAAAAAATTTAAATGGTATTATTCTATTAATTTTTTTAAAATTAATATGATATTTATTTTTATATAAAAAATCAATAAAAAAATTTGGCAGATTCCCAGATTTTGAAGTGGCCGAGCTCTATAATACTATATGGTTAGCCTAGCCTATAACTCTAATTGAGACTCACTCAGCTTCTGACCACCTAATGGTCTTCCTACTGTTTGCAGAAGCTTGACCACTGGAATTATTCTCTAGCATTACATAATTTGTCATAATTAAATCTCTCCTACCTAAAAAGAAAGATGAACTTCATTAATGAATTAGAGTGGATTGAAGTTCGTTTGGTATCATTTAGGGTTACCTTTTTTTCCTTGCCATGGAAAACTAGTCTTTTAAATTGTTTATGAAAGTGTTTTTGATTTTGTTTCTAGATATTTTTCAAAAATATTTTTGGTTTAAAAAAATATTAAAATGATATTTTTTTTGTATTTTATAATTATTTTAATATAATAATGTTAAAAATAAAAATTATTTTAAAAAAAATTATTTTAATATATTTTTAACAAAAACTATTTTGAAAAATACTATGGAACACAAATTCAAACAAACAATTAATTTGTTATTGTGATCAACACTTTGAATTAAGGAGGAAACCGATACAAGGAGATTGATATGGTACTGTGAAACGAAACCAATTTACTTAATATTGCAGCTCCAGTTTTATTGCAAATATACCCTTGATTTCTGGTCTCTATATATCTGTTTCTAAATCCCAGAAAGGATCCCAACCCTCGGCCCCTCCACGGCTCGTTGCAGGTGATGGAATATGCTTAGCTTGACCTTAACTTACCACTGGTATTTTATAATTTGTAAGAATGTTCAGCAGTTTTCTTGTAATTAACCAGAAGTCACCCCCCACCTAACGTAGTTGATGTATGATAGGTTGGTTGACAGTCATCGTCAACGTAACCCTAGAAAATCAAAATAGGAGATTAGTCTTGCACTTTGATGTTTCTACTTGAATATCTCATGTTCGGATTGGTGGGATCGGATTCAGAGACTGTAAGGCTACCTCCATTGTGTAGGAAAATGTCAACTTCTAGCAAGGTGACAAGAAAATGAACCTCTTCTTGGTCCTCCCTCCTTGCCATGTTCATGGCCAGAAATGATTTATAGAATATGTAATCCGGGCCCCCATCTTCAATCCAGTCTAAAGTCTTGTCCAAGATTGCGTTACATTTGAATCTTCCACTTGTAATTTCCCAGTACTGAAGGTCGAGTAACATTGAACCTTGGTTATCTTTTGGAAGAGGATCTCTTCAGTATTTGATGGACAGATTTAGTTAAACCTACCAAACATCACTCTTTCTATAAAGAAACAGCTGCGCCTTTTTCTTTTTCTGCACTTTCTTTAAGCAAAGCTAACTGCATCACGAGAAATAGCTTAGAGAGATAAGAAACCCCTTCGACAAGTCACCTCTGTCGACCTATCTCTTAACTTCTCTACCTTCCAAATCAATATTGCACCGCTCATTAAACCCAAAACTCACACACAAGCTAATACGTGATCAGATTGAGAGGAAATGTGAAGGAGAAGGGACTTGGTCAGTTTCTTGCAATTACAAGATTTTGTCAAAGAAGGCTTTCACAAGTTAAAAGTCTAGGTCTTAACAGTGATATATTCATACCCCTTGACTTGTAAAGAACAGTAAAACAAGAGTGGTAGAACGATGTTAATTTGAGGTTTTTGAGGCCTGTGATTTTGGAGAATCGTGGCCGCCAAGAAAGTGGAAGATAATAAAACAAAGAGGTTATTTGTTTTAAGCGGAGAAAGACCAAGACTTTTGAGTGTAAAATTTAGTAGCCATCAATGAAAAGATCCAAGGAAATGAATAAGGATACAGTTACAGCTATTAACGTGCAGAACTTCCACATTAAAGTTCAAGAGGAAAAACTTCCATTCATAATCACCAACCAGCTCACCCCCCCAGGTGGCATTTCATGTTCCTTTTCTTGCTTCTTTAATTCTTGCTAATTATTCCTTTCTTTAGAGTACTATCATTCCTTTCTTAGTTCTTGAGCATCAGATACAGTGAGTTGACTTTGTAACTTATCTACCAACTGGCTTAGTTAATATTTTTGCAGGTTGAAGAATCAAGCATCCAGCTTGAAACCGAAATGGTGGCGGGGATATTAGTCTTGAGGCTCTTTCGAGTCCTTTTCTTTTTGCACATGGTCCTAATCGCCATCCTAGTAACCTGCCTCACCATCCGTGGCCTACTCTCTGCCCACAGCCACCATTTTCATCCCAAGAAGTGGTATCCTCCACTCCTTACTGCAACAGGATGCGCTGGAATTGTGGCTTTCACATGGCAATGGTTCACTCTCTGCAACCCTTCAAGAGCACTGAGAACAGCCTTCTGGCTTAGCCCCTTGCTAACCTGTGCAGCTGGCGTGCTGTTTGTACTAATAGGCTCTGCTGCAGGTTTAACAATAGGCGTAATTGCAATAGTTCTTGCTCTGATCCTATTCCTTTATGCTTGCTGGGTGAATCCTCGATTCAATTATGCCACCAAGGTTTTATCAATTGCTGCTGCTTCCCCTCCAGCTAAGACTACAACAGTGGTCAATCTTTCAATCATCACAGGCACTGTGTATTCCTGTTTCTTGGTATCTGGTATTGGCGGAGCCACTGCTGTTGGAACTGTAATGGACTACTTGTTCATTTTAGCGATCCTTGCGAGCCTGGCATGGAGCACGCAAGTGATAAGAAACACGTTGCAAGTTACAATTGCACGCGTCAAATACCTACACTTTGCATATGGGCTAGATATGGACTTACGAATTGCTTTACGGGACACGTTCAAATACTCAATGGGAAGTGTGTGCATCAGCTCAGTCCTTGTGCCGATTATTACTGTAGTCCACGGTTCAGCCCGAGCAATAAGTTTGATTGCGGGGGGCGCAGACGAGTTCTTGTTTTCCTGCGCTAACTGTTATGCTGCTGTTGCCGCGACTCTGGTTAGCTATGGGAATCGGTGGGGTCTTGTGCAAGTAGGAGTTTATAATAAGGGGTTTGTGCAGGCATCCATGGATACATGGGAGATGCTGAAGCGACTTGGGTTGGAACCTATAATTGACAGAGATCTGACAGGGTCTTTCTGTTTTCTCTCTGGGATGGCAGGAGGTGCAATATGCACGCTAGTTGGAGGAGCATGGACATTTGCAGTTCATAAGAGTTATGCTACAGAGGTGTCAATCTATGCATTCCTGATTGGCTACTTCATGGTAAGAGATCAGCAACTCAAAATTGGAAACATTTCTTACAACAATACTCAGAAACTGATACACAATTTTTTTGCTTGCAGTGTCGGATAGAAATGGCATGGCTGCAATCATGTGTTTCAGCTTACTACATTGCGTACACAGAGAACCCACAGAACTCGCGGCTTGACCCAGCTATTATATTTCGCCTCGAAGAGTTCCAGAGATACGGAGATTAACAATCATGGGGAGCTAACTTCATCTAGCTTGCTGAGTACAGATTCATAGTTTTAGATTGAATATTTGCACCAGACACCACGTAGACCAGAGCAACATCAATTGATGTTGAAAGGCATGTGATTATGCAAACACGTCAGGATTGCAATTTTTTTGTTTGTAAAAGAGAACTTGTCCTGTGAATGAGATATTAGTCAGCTTTTATATTCAGTATAATCTGCCCAAGTTCTCTTGCACGTAGATCATCTTCAAAAATATTGAATTTAACTCCCTTGAATCAAATGATTACCATGGTCACACTCCATGAATGATTACTATGGTCACAAAGGACAAAATTCCAATGCATTGCATGGTCACACTCCATGGAGCAGATCTCAGGTCACAAAGGACAAAATTCCAATGCATTGATGCAGAGCAAATTACCAAATTTTGATTTCTAGTGCAATCATGTTAAGAAACTCTTTTGAGATCCATTTTTGATACTTTCTAAGGCAAAACAACATCAAACCGATTGAATAAAAGGGAAGTGGAAACATTATCAATAGCTTGCCAGTAAAGTGGATACAGATCAAGACCATTCAAAAAATCAAGGGTAAATTATAGAGGAAGAATACCATTGAGAAATGAAAAGGTCGATGCACAAAAACTTTAATACAACATTGCAAGGCTACGTAACTACAACAGATATGACAACCTAACTGTAAACGTTGCAGCAAGAGGGTACAACAAAATGCAATGAGAAAGCAAAACGCAAAAGTTACTTGAGTCCAACATGACCTCGGCCACCACATTCTGAGCACATGATGTTTCCGGTTCCACCACAACCTACAAATAAATAAATAAATATAACATAGTATCATTTTCATTGCCATAAAAAAAATATATAACATAGTATCATTTTCATTGCCATATATAACAAGCACATCAAGATAACCACCAATCAGCTACCATTAGCAATCACACCACAAGACCAAGACCCATGCACGACTACCAGCTGAGCTACTCAAGATTTGCTACTTTCCAAAATATATGGAGATACTTTTATGTTCAATAACATGTAAGTATAACTTTAGGTTTAACACTCATATTCTGCACTCTTAATCACTATATGGACAAAACCATCAGATGATATCACCTGAATATAGTTGCTATTGGTTTTTTCCAATAATAATATAAATATTTATTCCTAAAAAAAGCTCCTCAGAGTGAAGTCACAGCAAACCTATTAATATCCTCCTAATATGGCGAAAAGTAAAAAAGTAAACTTATGACAATATCCCATCCAATTGTAAGGCCACACTCAATAGCTTTCAAGGAATAACGTTGTGAACTTCCTAGATCCAATCCAGGGATGGTATTTGACATTTACCAAAATGATTTCACAAAACAAGCATTGCCAGAATATTTACACAGGAAAAAACCATAGGCATTTGTGTTCCAAATTATGCATGCACAAGTGCATATGGATTAAAGACTGGAGCCATAAAGGGAGTACAAATTTGAATTGAGAGATCATGCTTAGTACAAAAGTAGGAAAAATGATGAGGATCAAAAAGGGTGCAGTGGAAAAGAGATGATAGATACTCTTCCCACACCAACGACCCAAGTGTACAGCTCGCTATCCCTTTACCACAAGAAAAAAAAAGTATTCTCAAATCAATTGAGGCTATACTTTAAATATGCAAGTATTTTCAAGGCATCTATTTCAATAGTTGCTCCCAGAACTAGTCACTTGTCATAGTGAAAGATGCCAAATCCATTATCAAAGTAAGTTCATTGGAAACATGATACGGTATGGAACTTCAAGTTAGATCTGGATGATCCTAAAATAACCACAAATCAAATTTGAGGGAATAGGAGTGCTAAGTGGAGTTCAGACAACAGAAAGTACAAGTATACTGCATCTGTTAGATTATGGTCTGTGAAGTGAAAGCAAATTTACCTAAGCACCGGACCTTGACAATGATGCCCTGACTTTCCAATATAGAGTCAACATATAGGCCTGAACCAGCACAAGTGGTGCAAAGAACCGCGCCTTTGGCTTGGCAATCAGTGCAACGAGGATTATCTCCAATTACTTTTTCAGCCAAAGAAATACCAACAGGCTCCTCAATTCTCTCCTCTGGTATAGGCTTGTCATAACGAAACGTAGATTCAAGACTGCTTCTTCTTCTATGCACATCTCCCACTGAAATTGACTCCTGGAACATCAAAGAATTAATTTCTGAGGAAGTTGTGCATTGGAAAACACATGAAAATGAAAAACCAACAGCATAACAATAATCATACAAGAATTAGCACCCATGAACTTCATTCACATGTATACCAAACGTACCGGCAAAATCATTTTAAAATCTCGTGGTTATTTTGGGAGTAAAAATTGATAAAAACACATCAATTTATTTAGCATTCCCCTCATTCATTCGCTTCTACATTGCACCTTTCTATAAATCCTAACAAAGGCCTAGACATTAGCTGCACTCCTCTCATTTTAAAAATGAGAAATGCCAGTGAACAATAGTAATCATGGAAAAATTTGTTGAAACACGGAAGAAAATAAAATAAAAATTAAATTAATAACAAGCGATCTCCTAAATTCCCATAAAATTGAAACTAACCCCATGAGAAGCAGCAGAGGGAGAAACAGAGCCATTAGGAGTGATTGCAGAGACGCACCCATTTCCACCGAATCGAAACCCATATTCAATCTTATTTTTGCTCCGAAGATTTGATAATTTTGGTGAAGAAGAAGAAATGGGAAAAGCAATCGATGAACCAATTCTAATGGTAGAATCCATTGAACGCAAAAAAGAAAAGAAAAGTTATATAATTGAATCAATACAAAAACACAGAGCTATTATGTTTACACTTCTCGAATTATAAAAAACCCAAAACTCGAACTTTGGGGAAATCGATTCTGTTTTCTGGTTTCTTTCTTATCTTTTGGCGCCTCCCGTTCGATCGTTGTTTACGATGGAGAAGAGAGCTGGAAAAGCTCGGGGAGTGGGAGATCCGTATTTATAGTTAGTTATAGATGGGTTTGTGGGTTTGAATTTCAGCACAAACTTTAGCCCAATACATTTGTCACTCAATATCATTCCTGTCCCAACCCATCAGTTTCCCTTCTTTCTTTTTTTTGTGGTTTTTTTTTAAATAATTCTTTAATTTTTAAACCCATTAAAAGTAACTAAATTAAATTTTATCAAGAAAAGGGTAACTTTAAATATATATTTTTTAAACTAGCAGACTCCCATATTTTTTTAAAAGAAATAACATAATAAAAAATTTATTTTGAAAAGTAATATAATTTGTTGAGTTGCAAGAACGTTACTAACATAGCTTAATAAAAATTTTTATTGTTGTCATAGCATTAAAATTTCTAAATTTTTAAACGTTGCAGTTGCATCATTGTTGCGGTAATTCAAGTACAAACCCTTTTGTAATGTTTTAAAAGAAAAGGAAAATTTTAATAGGAAAAGACAATAATATCCTTGAAGGAGTAAACATATCTAAATAAGTGAGTTATATTTTGATAATTATAAAAAAGTTGATAAATATAAATGGCACGAAAAGAAAAAGAAGAAGTGTCCAAAATTTTTAAGGGAATGAAACTAGAAGAAGAAAAGGAGAAGAAATGGTTTTTCTTAAGTCTTATGGTAAGATTTTGGGTTTATTTGCATCATTCTCAAGTTTAGATTTGATTTTAAGATTCCAGAGATTTAAAGTGATTTAAAGTGGTGTTGTGAAGTTTAATGGAAAAATTAATAGTAAAGGTAAGAGTTTAATTAATTGATTTTAGAAGATTTTGGATAATGATGATGATTTTAAGTTATGATATGTTTAAATGATGAAAATGAATTAAAGATTTTTATAAATTAGTATATGATTTGTGAAAAATTTTGGGTTTGAGGTTCATGATAACCAAATTTTAATCTGGACCTTTATTTGTAAAAAAAATGAATTTAATCCCTATTTTTTAAAAAAATTTGAAAATTGATACCTAAAACATAGTTCGAGATTTTGGATATCATTGAGAATGAATTATGGAAAAATTTTAGTATGGTTATAAATTTATAATATTTTTTATTTGATCTTCTAAATTTGACAAGAATTAAAAATTAATCCCTAAAAGTAATAATCTATTTAATTTTATAATTGGCTTATTTAATCTTAAAATTGACTTATTTCAAGTTGAGACCCTTTTAGATTGGTCATCAACAAGAGGTTTGATTAACAATTAACTTTCATGAAAAAAAAAATTTCTTTATAAAAAATGATAATTGTACCATTAATTATGTTTACACCTTGTTACATAGCACCTTATAAAAAATGTTGATGATGTACAGTTCATGAACCCTTTCTATTCTAACACCATGTATAAAAATTTTTATATCTTTTATTCTTAACCTTTACTTAGCCTATTACTATGACCTGAATATAATGAATTAAAAGTAGATGAGACCTGAATATAATAAATTAAAAGTAGATGAGTATCTAATTAGATGGAGAACCAAAAAAAATCAAAGGATATTCATTTGTCTGCGTAATGACATGGATGGTAAAGAATGCATATACAAAATAAATGTGGCATATATATAATGATAAGGATCATAACAAGAAAACATATTAAAGTGGATAACATATTCGTACATTTGCAATTGTTTTCTATTATCACTATCTTTTTTTTGTTTTACAATATGAATTCATGTTTGATGAGTTGGATGCACGTGAGCCTTATTAGGCATTTGTTATCTCATATATTTTATATGTTTTTTTATAAAATTATTTTTTGATGTTAAATTATTTTGTAATATATCTATTTTATATTTTGATAACCAATATGGACATTGTCCACTAACAATTTGATAATATTAGCTTTCCTGATATGCATGATATGCATGAAGGGTAGTGATATATTGCTAACAGTGGTTTTAATGCACTATTTTGTCATTATAGGGTAGTGATGTATTGCTAATAGTGGTTTTAATGCACTATTTTGTCATTATTAAGATACATTGCTATAATTATATAATTAATGCAACAACAACTTGAATTACATTGCTCTAATTACATAAATAGTTGAAGAATTGTATATTATTAATTATCGAGGTAAAAGGGATAGTTATTATTTGTTAATAACAACTTGAATTACATTAACATATCTTTGATGATATTGATAAACAGTTGAAGAATTGTATATTATTAATTATCTGAGGTAAAAGGGATAGTTATTATTTGTTAATAAACCTTCATCATGCCATGAAGAATTAGATATTTATAGAGCGACATCTTTCTATTAATTTAGATATCTACATGATTCATGGCTCCATACACCAGACTGAGATATTTTGAAAACTCCTTTTTGCCACAGTGCTGATTCTAAATAAAAACTTCGAAACAGCACCAAGATAAGTCATGAGTTGATGAACACAGTAGCAATGGATAATGAACCGTAAGATGAGCTTCTGCACTGATAATCAACAATCATTTTCACCATAGCAGCAAGAGACAAAGGATACAAGTCCAGCTAGCTAAGAAGACGTACGGAATGGAATTTGATTCTTTCACTATTTACAGGAGTTGACATCAAGATAAGGAAAACGATGCTCCCCCGTCACCGTCCTTGATAATTTATTACTGGGAAAGATAAGACAATTGCCCTTTCTTCTTCGACGGAAGACAACCCTACTAACCAATGACCTCCAGCCAGGGTGCAGAGTGGGATTTTAATACAAAATCCAAGAAGGAATTCAAAGGATAAAGTCAACACGTTGATATCTACCCGGGCATCCTTCCTCCCCCTTGTGCGGCAGTGAAGTTCACGCCGTCTGCTAAGATGCAGGGAGGAGCCGACGTCTAGCACGAAAGGGTCTCGGCTCTTGATGTTAAAATAATGAGACAAGAACAAATCTAGTGTAACAAGACACGTTGAAAAGAGGAAAAGAAGAAGATATTGAAAGAAGATGGATGAGACATTGGTGTGGCTTTGGGCTACCATTGGTCATGAGAGTTTGAACTCGAGCAACCAAGATTTAGGATTGGAGGGATGGATAAGAAAATAATTAATTTTTAAGAGTGCAAAACTTGTAAAACTGAAGGGTATAATTAAGAACATCTAAAAGTTTTAGATTGGAATGTGGGGTTTTCTAAATTTTGAGGGTGCCGTAATCCGAACCAATCAACATAATTCTGCCCTCAACTTGAGATCTTTAAAAATAAAAAAATAAAAAAAATCTAACTCCAATTAAACTATAATTTATTAACACTTCGAAGGCTTGTCCGGCCAGCTAGCAATTACTATGAACTATGGCTGATTAATTTTTTTTTTAAAAAAAATAATCATATCACTAAATATATTTTGAATATATTATGATTTATGATCAAAATAAATTTATTTTGAATAGTTATTAGTCACTTGTCTCACGACTTTTGGGCTGGTGATGCACTGATTTGCCAGAGAAAAAAAATAAATAAAAGAGTTTATATTTGAAAACGATATGTAAATTATAAATTGCCATTTCAAATAAATTTAATCCAGACAAAATCATGTGATGATGTCATTAAGTCTCGACACTGATGAATTCACATTTAATGTGAAAGCATTGACTTTATGATTAATCCTACTTATTTGGATAACACACGAAGATAATTAATTAAAGTAGCGGAAAAGCTATAGCTGGAATACTCTCATGTCCATGGATTTTCAAATAATTATATATATGCTGATTTGTTTTTTGTTGGTTTTTTATACTTTTGTAGTTGTTTTTAATTTTTTTAAATATATTAAAATAATATTTTTTATTTATTAAAATTTATTTTTAATACAATATATCAAAACAATTTAAAAACACTTAAATATAAAAATAAAATTCAAATTTTTACCTTGTTTTTAAGAACTACAGCCACAACAAGCATTTGAAAGGAAATATGTTTAAAAAAATGTTTAGAATTGTGATAATAGCTATTTTTTAAAATATATTTTTAAAATATTTTGAAATAATATTTTATTTTGTTTAAAAATATTTTGAAATAATATTTTTTTTATTTTTTAAATTATTTTTTATATTTTAATTTAAAATAAAAAAATTAAATTTTTTTAAAACATTTTTGAAACGAATAACAAACCTGCCCTAAGAGATATTTGTCTAAATCCCTTCCTCTAAGTTTGTCGTTTATCTAAAGAATTGTTTTTTTTTTTTCCTTCCAACGTGTTTCAAGAGATGTCGGGCGCCAAAGTTTCCTTAGAAGATAATGCAACAGAAATCAATATATTAATTAGTTGGGATCTGGCGTGGTCGGCAAAGTGGAGATCGATTCACTTATTAATGGGAGACGGATGAACTTGGCTGGTGGCTGTAAATCAATTTCCCAATTCCATGTAGAAGAAATAGAAAAGGAAAATAAAATATTACAAAACAAAATCTTTCTGCCAGGTTGTTCTTGGTTAGAGATGCTTCTTGCATCATCGAGAGTAGCACACGCAAGGATCACATGCTCAGTGAGATCACTTCCCTTCATGCCATAGGACGTCTGCCACATAAAATTACATCGATGTCCTGTTGCCACTGTTAGAAAAGCAAGTGTGCCAGTCCTTCCTTAACCGTGTCCCTCTTCCTGAACAGTGATGAGTCTCTCACTCGTAGTATAATATCTGATGCTATTGTTGCCTCCTCTGGTCCCCTCCAGATTATCTGCTTTGCCTTCACAGCCCCATATCAGGAGATTCCTCCGATTTGCATTCCTCAAACCAGCATTCTTCGAAACACGTATCATCAAAGGGGTTAGTTTTGTTTTTGGTATTTGGTATAATGGTCTTCATTTCTCAACCACATTTTTCAGAAGAATTTTTTCTAGAATAAATCTATCTGCCTCTACTTTCCTGTACCCGGTTCTTTTCCTTGATTTAGTGCGATCTTGTTGTCTAGGGAAAGGGTTTTGATTGAGTTGTTTCCTTAGCTTCTCCATCTCTTTCTTTGATGCTGTTGCATTCAAATTTGG